TAAACTCATAAGAGTTTCCACCAATCAAGTTGATAAGGGTAACGAAATCGGCATTGGCCATATCTTTATCACTTACTACATCTGAAACGATTTTGCGCAAGTTTGTCGATGGGAAAACAACCTCAAGATCCAAATAATCATCCTCGATAGTTAGGTGGATCAAATGAACTCTACATTCAGCACACCAGGATGTCTTCACCCCGCCGACACGTCCGGAGATGAGGTAAGAAGTGCCCTGGTGTTTACAACAAGAAAAGGAATTTTAAAAAAAATTAACAAGCATTAACAAACACAATAATTGAAAACGAGATCGAGAAGGATGAATGACAAAAAAGTTAATTTCAATAACCTCATCGTCACCATTCTCTTGCAACAATGTAAGATCGATTGAATCTGACAAAATAGACATAGATACTGCTTCCTCATACTTCAGCTTTGCAACGAAACCAGGCTCAACCATAAAGCCGCTATAAATAAAACCGTTAGTAATGGCTGACAATAGGAAAAGGAAGCGGAGTAGACTGTCGTAACGATTAGTTGGTAAACAATACTTACGGGTACCATTGCGATATATCATCCATTGTCAGAAAATTACAGCACGGAAACCCTACTCAATTTCTGTTCTTGCACGTACTGTGGATGTTCAATAGGAGTATAAGAACACATTATGATCAACTATTCTAATAGAACGTACTAAATAGTTAACAATCAATTAAAGAAAAGTACCTGCGGCGGTGGAAACGTGGTCGGCGACACCGCGTGGTTAGTCGAGCAGATCGGGAACGAGGCAGCGGCGAAGGTGGCAAGCGACGATGGTGATGATGGTGGCCCGCTCTTCTTCCCACAACCAACGTGGTTAGTCTTGAAGACTTTCCTCTGCTATTCTTCCCACAAACGCTAGAGCGAATCAGCGGCGGAGGTGGCACGCGACGATGGTGGCCCGCTCTTCTTCCCACAACCGACGTGGTTAGTCCGGGAGACTTTCCTCCGCTCTTCTTCCCACAACCGCTACAACGAATCAGCGGCGGAGGTGGCAGGCGACGATGGTGGCCCGGAGGAGGAGACCGCTACTGAGCGACCAGCGGTTGCTTGGCGGGCGGAGGCGGAGACGTGCAAGCAACGGAGGCGGAGACATGCAATGGAGGCGGAGGGAGGATGAGGGCGGTTGAGTATGTGTCTGATCAGTCTGAAGGAAAACCGAGAAGGCAGCGCATGGGGAGGGGAGAAAAAGCAGAAGATAAATCGTTTGCTAGATTTGGTAGGTAAGTAGTCTTCCAATTTTCAACTTTGCCATTATTGTTCTCTGTTTTATTTTATTTTTTACAATTCATTATTGTTAAAGAGACAAAGGGAGGGCAGCCGCCGATCTGCTCGACTAAGCCCTATTGGGCCTGGTACAAAAGGCCTGCTTAGTTTAGTTTTATGTTTTAATTTTAGATGAACTCATTTTATAGTTATAAATATAACGGTGGAAGTATATTGAATCAAAACTCTTGTTCAGCAGCAATGGTGAAGAATGGCCATGGTAATGACCAGGACGCTGGTTCGACCCTTATACCATTACAAAAATTTTTGTTTTTAGCTACACCTATAGAACGACGCTGTTCTCCAGGCCACTTTCGATTCAGAGACGAGCACAAAACGATGCCGTTTTTTCATGTATCGTCGTCTTCCCTAGCCCCCCCAAATTCCCAATTATCCCGTTGCCGCCGTCACCACCGTAATCCGACGGCCGTCTCACTTCATCGTCCAAACTTTCTCACTCCGTTACGATTCTGGACTCCGACCAAGAGAATTCCCTTGACGAGACCCAATCCCCTCTCTCCATTTCAACCTTAGTCATTGTTTACACGACGTAAAGGTCATAGTCGTTCACCGTCAATTGATTCGGATTCGTCGCGAAAGGGTAACTGTCATCTGCGACCTTAAAAACAGATGATGAGCCAAAGTCGATGTAGGTTAGAAGCAGGGACGATGATGATGATGGTAAAATTAGAGGTTTGCAATTGGGGTATCTAGAAAAATCGTAATGACGATGATGGTGGTTTAGGATTGTCGAATTGGGGCAACCTTTTAATGGAACTTTATTTTATCAATTGTATAATTTTTGGGTGTTCATTAAAAGATCTAGAAGAAATAAGGTATCATCTGAGTTCTCACAAAAACGAATAGGTATCATGTGAGAAAATAGAACGCTAATTATTATTGGGGGGGGGGCTTCATAGCACATATAATTATTTAAGGGGTGCAAGTAGTAATTATTATTACTAATTTTAATATAATTTATAATGACCGTTAGATTAGGGAAAAAAGTCCAGAAAATGGAATATCAGTTAGGGAAATCTACGGTAGAGAATCCTGTCGCATAGTATGTGTCTGACGCATACGAGTCGTTTCTATATATATATATATGTGTCTAAGTTTCAGTACGAATGGTTCTAAGATTTATATGTATATATGTCTCTCCTTCTATGTACTAAGAAGGTTTTTTCCTTTTTTTAATTTGTTGTTTGTTTGCTTCAAATGGAATTGGCCATATGCTTACATATGCAAGATTATTATCATGATTAATCGACTACTAATGTTTATGTGATGCTTTAAAGTTGAAGTTTGTGATTATAAAATATTTTCGAATCGTCCAAAGGTTGATTGCTCGTTTTATAATTCATGAACATTATCGTGGTAAATTGATATGCTTGGTTAGATATATTTAGTATATCCAAAGATTGCAAGTATATCTAATTTGAGTATGTCTATCACCAATTATATGATTATTTTGAGCATCAATTACGATTATTTATCGCATATATATTGTTGTTTTGCCCAAAGGTAGCACCAATATATGTTTTATGTTTATGCTTTCGAATCTGTATTATAGTTTATGCTTATTACCCAAATCATTAATGTGTGAGTACATGTTATATATGTTTGCAACATCTGTTCCTTTTTCTCTTCATTCGCAAGCCACGTCTGTTGTTAAGTTTAATGGCCTCAACTTCTCTGAATGGGCTGAACAGGTTCAGTTTCACCTCGGTGTTCTGGATCTTGATTTGGCACTCTTAAGTGAGAAACCTGTTGCTCTTACTGATGCTAGTAGTGTTGAGGAAAAGTCTTTCCATAAAGCTTGGGAAAGATCTAACAGACTAAGCCTAATATTTATGTGAATGACTGTAGCAAACAACATTAAGTCAACTTTCAATGGTACTGAAAGTGCTAAGGAATTTATGAATTCTGTGAAAGAAAGCTCTCAATCTGAGTCTGCTGATAAGTCGCTTGCTAGGACACTTATGGGTACGCTAACCACCATGAAGTTTGATGGTTCTCGTACCATGCATGAGCATATCGTCGAAATGACGAACATTGTAGCAAGACTAAAGACCAGGGGAATGGAAGTGAATGAATATTTCCTAGTAACGTTCATCCTTAATTCCTTACCTCCAGAGTATGGCACATTCCATGTGCATTACAATACTCTAAAGGATAAATGGAATGTGCATGAGTTACAAAGCATGCTCATTCAAGAGGAAGCAAGGCTTAAAAAACCAGGAAATCATTCTGCCAATCTTGTTGGTCATAAAGGAAGGAGCTGGAAAGAAACCATGGAACAAGAATGGGAAAGGGCAAGGAAGGACTATCAAAGCTTAATGAGTCATCTGCCAAAATCCACAAGAAGGAACCAAGTAAGGATATATGCCGCTTCTGTAAGAAAGCCGAACATTATGAGAAAGATTGCTTGAAAAGAAAGGCATGGTTCGAAAGAAAGGGTAAGCCTAGTGCTTCAGTATGTTTCGAATCAAATTTAACTGAGGTTCCTTATAATACTTGGTGGATTGACACTGGTTGTACCATTTATGTTTCCAAAACGATGCAGGGATTCCTTACAAACCAAACCATAAGGCAAAATGAGAAGTTCATCTATATGGGAAACCGAGCCAAAGTTCTAGTTGAAGCTATTGGGACTTATCGTTTGGTTTTAGATACTGGTCATCATTTGGACCTTGTCAATACCCTTTATGCTCCTTCTATTTCTCATAATTTGGTTTCGGTGTCTCAACTAGATAAGGCTGGGTATTTTTGGAACATTGGAAATGGTTCTATTAGTTTGTTCAAACAGAATGTTTTATTGGGTTCTGGTACCCTTGTTGATGGTTTGTACAAACTAAAGCTTGATACCCTTTTCGCTGAGACTCTGTTAACCTTGCATCATAATGTTGGTATTAAACGTGGTTTGTTTGATGAATCCTCTGCTTACTTGTGGCATAAACGGTTGGGTCACATATCCAAAGAAAGAATGGAAAGGCTAGTAAAGAATGAGATCCTTCCTCATTTGGATTTTACTGACCTTGGAATTTGTGTTGAGTGTATTAAAGGAAAACACACAGTTAAGAAAGCAGCCACAAGAAGCTCACAGCTCCTTGAAATTATACACACTGATATTTTTGGGCCTTTTGATGTTCCATAACTTGGTGGAGAAAAGTATTTCATTACCTTTATCGATGATTTTTCACGTTATGGATATATCTTTTGCTGCATGAAAAATCTCAGTCGATAGATACCTTTGAAGTGTTTATCAATGAAGTTGAGAGGCAATTAGAAAGAAATGTGAAAATTGTCAGATCCGATAGAGGTGGAGAATATTATGGAAAATATGATGAAAGTGGACAGTGCCCTGGTCCATTTGCTAAGTTCCTAGAAAGAAGTGGTATTTGTGCTCAATACACTATGCCAGGAACACCGCAACAAAATGGTGTTGCAGAAAGGCGGAATCGTACTTTAATGGATATGGTTAGGAGTATGTTAAGCAACTCATCTTTACCCAAATCATTGTGGATGCACGCTTTAAGGACCGCTGTGTATTTGTTAAACAGGGTTCCTAGTAAAGTAGTTCCTAAGACACCTTTTGAACTGTGAACGGGAAGGAAACCCAGTTTAAGGCACCTGCATGTTTGGGGTTGCACAGCGGAAGTGAGAATATATAATCCACATGAAAAGAAACTGGACTCACGAACAATCAGTGGTTTCTTCATTGGTTATCCAGAAAAATCTAAGGGGTATCAATTTTATTGCCCTAACCATAGTACGAGAATTGTTGAAACTGGAAATGCTAGGTTCATTGAGAATGGTGATGTTAGTGGGAGCTTAGGCCACGCAATGTGGAAATTCAAGAAGTTAGAGTGCAAGTATCCTTGCCTCTACCCTCTTCTCAAGTTGTTGCTCCTGCACATGTTGAGCATGATAACGATTTGCAGGAACAACAAATGAACGGTCAAGCACCACCTAATATTGCTATTGAGAATGAACCTAACATAGATGAACCACAAGAAATCGCATTAAGAAGGTCTACAAGAAATCGAAGGCCTGCAATTTCTGATGATTATGAGGTTTATCTTCACGAGTTAGAATCTGATTTAGGACTCTATCATGATCTAGTTTCATTTTCACAAGCCATGGAAAGTGAGCATTCTGATAAATGGTTAGATGTCGCGAAAGAAGAGATGAAATCTATGTATAAAAATGAAGTTTGGGACCTTGTTGATTTTCCCAAAGGTTGTAAAAGAGTTAGTAATAGATGGGTCTGGAAGACCAAACACGACTCTAATGGCAATATCGAAAGACACATGGCCAGACTTGTTGCCAATGGTTTCACTCAGAAAAGTGGTGTTGAAGCATTCATGGAAGAGTGCGAAGCATTCTGTTATTGCCACATCCACTATGGAAGCTGAATTCATAGCTTGTTATGAAGCTACGAATCATGGTTTATGGCTGCGGAATTTTATTTCTAGACTTGGAATTGTCGACACTATCGCCAAGCCGCTGAAAATTTACTGTGATAATTCCGCAGCGGTATTCTTCTCTAAGAATGACAAGTATTCGAAGGGTGCTAAGCATATGGAGGTGAAATACTATGTCGTTAAGGAAGAAGTTCAGAAACAAAGGGTGTCGATCGAGCATATTAGCACACAGCTTGTGATTGCTAATCCATTAACAAAAGGATTGCCTCCTAAGACATTTACTGAACATGTCGAAAGGATGGGAATTATAGGACGTCATGACTAAACTTATTTTATGTTTCATGGATTGACACTTTGAGCTCATTTATTTTGTTTCTGGAATAAAGTTATGAATCTTGTTTTATTTATTATGACCAGTATATATACATTATGCATTATGTGAACAGAACAAGATTTTTGCCTTTAGTGAAGACATTATTGTTGGACCATTATGACTACCTTGTTATGTGTTGTATTGAGCATGAGACTGGTTTTGTGGTACATGGAAGGGACCATGTCGATAAATTGATATAGAACCGCCATGATCCTAATCTAGCTTTCATACTTGATTATAACTTTATGGTGAACCAAATATTATAGATTTATCTTATGATGTGCACACTTATGTTTATGATTAGATCTTGTGATATATAATGACACATGGACCAAGTGGGAGAATGTAAGCCCAATTCCCATATGTCACTAGGGAATAATTGTGGCCCAAGTGTAATTATCACTTAATGATCTATAATATTTGGTTCACCATAAAGTTATAATCAAGTATGAAAGCTAGATTAGGATCATGGCGGTTCTATATCAATTTATCGACATGGTCCCTTCCATGTACCACAAAACCAGTCTCATGCTCAATACAACACTTATGTTTATGATTAGATCTTGTGATATATAATGACACATGGACCAAGTGGGAGAATGTAAGCCCAATTCCCGTATGTCACTAGGGAATAATTGTGGCCCAAGTGTAATTATCACTTAATGGTTTAATATATAAGGTAAGTCCTATATTGGTTAGGTTAATGAAAGGTAAATTCCTAATATACCCTGATGGTGGGTCTATATAAAGAAACCCTAGGATTGGTCCTCTCTCAACCCATTACGTAGAATTTCTTAGCTAGCCATCATAGAAATCTCTAAACCTAAAACCTAAAGGGGTCAAGAGGGAGAAACTCAATTCCGGTGATTACTACTCCAGCGCCGTCGTCGCTCTCGTCATGGATCGAGGTAGGTTTCCCCGATCTATTATCGATTCGTGAAATAATCTAATTCTAAGATCCATGCTATTATGATCTATGTTTACATGAGGGTGATGGAAGGAATGTTGATAGGGGCAAAAAAGTCATTTTAACTTAATACACGGGCGACAAATAGTAATGACACGGGCGGCAAATAACCCGCGCTCTTAATTAAAGGAAAGGATGAAAACATAGTTGTCTTGTTACACCTATGACCTAACTCATTCCCTTAAAAGCTTATATAGTATGTTATAATATTGCGGGGAGGATAGCTGGATAGGGGTCAGATTGCTGTTAATAAAGAACACAAAAAAGGACAGTTAACAATGGATTAAAGACTACTATATGAAATGGTTCGGTTATACAACATTGTTTGTAAAACCGTAGCATATTATTAGTTATATTAGAAAAATTTTCTATCAAAGCTAAATCAGTAGACACTTTTTAGCCGTACGGCATAGTTGAACTACAACTTCAGCACAAAATATTGCTGACTTTTCCGATACAACCTACCATATGGTTTACAATCCTTGGTCTGAAGTGTATAATTATATTTGACAATTTGGTTATTGGGTGAGGTTAGATCAAAAGGTTGAGATTAAAAGACTTAATTTTTTTATTTTCCCCATTTCTTATGAGATTATATTTTTTTAACATGAATTTTGAAATTTTTCGAACAGATAAAACGAGTTTATTATGGTTTACAAAACTGTTATCTAATTCTATTATATTTCGAGGAAAAAACTATATACCACTCATGATCACTTGTTATTGTTTTGATACCACATTTGTTATTAACTCAAAATTTGAATTTTTCGCTAAAGAAACCAGTTGCTCGTGACCCTTTGTGAGAATTTTTTTTTTATAAAAGATATCATCTCATACCAATCTAAAATATGAATGGTATCCACCATTAATATATTGCACACTTTTGTGTAATTTGCTCCAATTCAAAATCTCTCTTCTCTCCTTAATTTGCGGCGGGGGCATATGGGTAATTGAACAATTTTCTCGGGAAACCGCCATATATTGCGACAACTCAAAAAGTTGCATCTCCTTGCTTAATCTCAATTTTTTTTTCCACCCGGCCTCACATATAGATAGTGTCGTCCTCCTTCCTCATCTTATAACCCTCTACCATTGTAAAAAAAAAAAATTAAAATAAATAATAACCCACTACCGATTTCATTCAATGTCGGTTCCCTTTCGTATCCGCCGCAAGTTGTCGACATCGGAACTCTGCTTTACATCATATCTCCCCCGGCGGTGTATGTAAGATTCAAATTTGTATTTGGTTCTCTTATTCTCTTGACGGTCTTCTCAATGTATTATCAAATTTCGATTTTCATTTTCAGTTCCAAATCGAGATTGCTCCAAAATTTGCTTGGCGTTTAGATTACTCTTTTTTTTTTAGAATTTCATAGCTGCTGGTTACAAAAACAAAGTTTTTTGTTTTAATCTGGCGCTTGCAATTTTTTGATTTTCAATCTATGATTATTATGCTCTATGATTATTTTCAATCTATGATTATTATGCTCTAACCTTTCCCCAATTGTTTTATTATATTTGTCTTGCTCGCTCTATCTTAAAATTAAGCAGGTTTCCAAAGTTTTGGATGGAGTTTCTCTCGATTATTCTCTTAGACCAACTTCAATGCAAGACCCCAAATTTGGAGACCTTCATCCCCAAATTTTGGGATTGCCCCCATTTTTTACAATTTGGCTCCAATGCTACAAACCTCAAATTTGGGGATCTCCATTTTATCCATTTTTACATTTACTTAAAAATGTACTTATCGAAGCCTTAATATAATTCGTTAATGTTAATTTTTGGATAGTTCGTCATCATTTTTAAATACAAATTTTTCGATAGAATTTTGTTAAATTCCGAGACCTAATTTTTTTGGCGAAAAATTATGGACATAATTTGGGTTTACACACAACACTTGAAAACGATTGATCTAATTAAATCCCTAACTAATCCCCTAATTAAACTCCAATTAACCCCTAAAATCTTAAAAAGTAAAAGAAATGTCACGCGGCGGGCTTTGGGGATTCTCTATATTTGGGGAACCCCCATTTTCACTCTCAAATTTGGGGATCTTTTTGCAGATCTCCCCCAAATATAGAGACTCCTCCATTGAAGCTAACTTTTTTTCCAAATATAGAGACTCCTCCATTTATAGAGGCTCCATTGGAGTTAGCCTTAAATGTTTAATTGGAGACTATGTTTGTGAGTTTCTTTGGTTTGTTGGATTGGGAAATCGGTAGATGGAAAAAACAAGAATTTTGATTACGTGGTAATTAAAGTCTTTTGTGTGATCGTAAAGAACTGAGACGATTGGATCTAATCTAATGAGAAGGGTGTAGCAGTTACAGTAATGCATCTATCTAATTGTCTGCTAGGGGATGAATAATTGATGTCCCCAATGTTCTGCATTTGTTGGCATCTTTCCCTATCAACAGAATAATTCCATGATAGTTCTATTTATCACCATCAATCCATGAAACTGTACCGTACCGGCGGTTCAACCACAAAATACCAGTATCGGAGACTAAACTGGTATGCGGTATTTAACGGTACTAACGATTGAACTACGGTAAAACCACGGTTTTGTCATAAAATACCTTACCGTTGACTTTTCCGGTACGATCTCCGGTACGGTTTCATGGACCATTGATCAAAGTAAAGCACCAAACCCTTCTGATTTTGTGGCTTCTTAAACTTGGTTAAGTGTCTTTTAGAAGTGATGGATTTTGGTATGACTAAGTCACTAAGAGTGTGATTTGATTGGTTTCCCCATTATAATCAAGCAATAAATGGAAGACAATAGTTCCAAGAATAATTGGAACAAGAGATTTCCATCTCAATGCATTCAGGCCTCATTTCTATCTGGTTGTAAACATATAATCTCTCGGTCACTCTTATCATTGTTGCATATGTGAACAAATTTGGATAATTAAGGAGCCATCTGAATAGGACTCAACCGGTGCTCAACTTCTCTATCAACAACAGCGAAGATCATCTCAACTACGTCGTCAAGATTCCCACCACCGCCTTTCTCTGGCCTATTTTCCCCTTGCTCTAGATTGTTAGTTGCTTCCTAGCTCTTTCTGCTCCCATACAGTCATAATATATGATTTTACTTGCAGATGCTAAAGCAACTCAGCGACCAAACCCACTTTATTGCCCAGGTGCTTTAATTAACAGTATGATTAGCATTTCTTCGCGTTTGCTAAGTGTAAGTGATCGAGGGCTTTCAAGGTAGGTGAAGGAGTGCGAGCTCCTGAGGAGTAACTTCAGTGATACTGGCTTCTTTAGTTTTGGTATCCAGGAAGATACAATATCTTGGCATCAAGTGACTCTGTCTTCTAATTGTAATATGCCTCATTTTCTATCATTGCGTTCTAAGTATAGGTATTTTCTCAACCCCATGCCTTAATTAGATTATCTTAGTTAGTTAAGTTTCTGATATAACCAATAAGGTATGGTCTGAGTTCATTCTGGAAGAAGAGGATCACGTCGATGGACCACAAATTATAGTCAAACTGCAATGGTGAGCTGTACTATTCCTCTCTCCAAGCAATGGCTTTTGCTCATCTAGGACACCTAAACCCCACTGTTGTGTTGGAACTTTGAATTGTATTTTTATTGTCGTGCTTCCTAGGCTTTACGCCATTCTTTGTCATGCTTTAGAGACTTCCTCAGTTAACGCACACATGATTTTCATCCCTGATCCTTCATTTGAAACAGAATGTATAGATAACAGCCAAATTGAAGAAGGGGAGACGTCAATTCTCAACAATGTCGTAAGCACAAGATTCAGTTTCTGATGTAAGATCGGCATTAGCCAGCTTCCCGGTTTATGATTATGACAAGATTCCTAGAACTTTACCCTCAATAAAACTTGATTGCTTGCTAATTTGGCATTGAACTCTGTAGTATTATTATTGTGAGCGATTGATGTTTCAATTCGGCCAATGGGCCGTGTTCAAAGCTAGTATATATATATATATATATATATATATAGAAAAGTGAAAGGGATTGTAAACACACCATTAATCTAATTTTTCTATAATCCGAACTAGTCTAAAACGATAGAATTTAATGGAAAAAATTTATTCATCGTTGACAACCAATAAGACAGAACACACCACGTAGGCTAGAATTTAGAAACCCAAAATTAAAACTCTGTTCCGTTGACATTTCAAAGTACGCACCGACGGAATCAGTTTGTTTGGTAGATAAAGTAGTCAGTCAACGTCTCTCTTTATCTCTGCAACCTCTTCTCTTTCAACCATTACAAACTTTCTGGCATCCGTTCTCGTTCGATCAAGAGACAGAGACAATCTATCAGAGATCCACCCCCAATTTGGAAGAGAATCACTAATGGAGTGGAATCGATCAGATCCCTCCTCTGAGTCTGACTCTTCTTCCTCTGATTCTACTACGCGGCCTCTTCCAGCCGGAAAGTATGAGGTTTTCCTGAGCTTCCGAGGTCCCGATGTGCGAACAACTTTTGCGGATTCTCTCTACCACTTCCTGGTCCATTCCAAGATTCGCACCTTCTATGATGACGAAGAGCTCCGAAAGGGCGACAAGATTGCTCCTTCGCTCGTCCGGGCTATCCATGAATCTAAAATCTACATTCCAATCCTTTCCCAAGGCTATGCTTCCAGTAAATGGTGCCTCGAAGAGCTCTCTCTCATGGTGAAATCCTTAAATCGAAACCAAGGCCACATCTTACTGCCCGTTTTCTACTTCGTGGAGCCTAGGGATGTTCGACGCCAAGAGGGTTCTTAAGTCGAGCGTTTCTACAGCACAGTCGGAAATACGATGCAGAGACCATAAAGAAGTGGAAGGAAGCTCTCCAATTCGTCGGCCAACTGAAAGGATGGCATGTCACCGAATCGGACAGGTAAGTAACGTTTTGATGTTTTCTTTCTTCCTCTGTTCCTCTTTTCATTTTGTAGGTTCTTTTGTAGATTAGGTGATGTGAGGCTCTTGTTTTATTTCCAGACAAGGAGCTGTAATAGATAAGATTTTCTCTCAAGTATGGTCACATTTGATGGGAAGTTACAAAATAGAGACGGATGAGTTGATCGGTATTGAATCCCGTGTTAAAGAAGTGAGGGATTTGCTGGACTTAGATGGTGAAGGTCTGAAAATTGTTGGGATTCACGGTATGGGTGGTATTGGCAAGACCACCATAAGTAAAGCGGTCTATAATGAGGTCTCTTCATGCTTTGAGCGTTCTTGCTTTCTGGAAGATATACGCGAAACATTGTTGAAGAACGATGGCGTCGTTACTTTGCAAAACAAGATAATTTCTAGCATTCTGAGGCATGACAGTCGTGTTAAAGATACTAGCGAAGGGATCCACATAATTAGAGACAAGGTTTGCAAGTACAAGGTTTTCATTGTTCTCGATGACGTAGATGAGAAGTTTGAGTTCGAAAAAATCCTTGGAAAACTACAAGATTTTTTCTTTGGAAGCCGATTTATTGTGACGACAAGAGACAAAAGGGTTTTGGAATTCTTAGAAGGATGCATATTGTTCGAAGCCAAGTTAATGAGTCACAATGATTCTTTTAAGCTTTTTGGAAAACATGCCTTTCGAATGGATGATCCCCGAGAAGAAAATGCAGATCTTTGTGAAGAATTGGTAAAAATCGCTGCAGGACTTCCTTTAGCTTTAAAGGTTATAGGATCTTTTTTGTTTCGTATAGAGAAAAGAATTTGGAGAGAAAAGTTGGAGGAATTGAAGGAGAGACCTTCTAGTAATGGTGTGCATGAGATATTGAAAATAAGTTACAATGATCTGACTTCCACAGAAAAGGAAATTTTTCTAGATATTGCTTGTTTTTTCATTGGAAAATCCAAAGAGTTACCTTTTTATATGTGGACCGATTGTAAGTTTTATCCAGAAAGTGGTGTGAACAATCTTATTTTTAAATCTCTGATAAAAGTTAACGAGAGCTATGAGTTCGAGATGCATGACCTTATCAAAGATCTTGGTCGAGCTATTGTTCAGGCAGAAAATATTCAACAACCATGGAAACGCAGTAGAATATGGTCCAACGATGAGGCGTTGGATATGTTAGAAAATGGCCAGGTACTTTTTCTACTTGCATTTTGAGTATTCAGTATTCTTTTTCCTGACATACCACTCTTATTATCAGTACATGTAAGCTAGCAAGCTCCTCACTGTTTGATTTTTTGTTTGCAGTAGCGACTACTATGATCGCGTAGGCCTGTGTCTTACGGATACAATACATTTTTTTGAAACATAGAAACATAGAATGTTCAATATTAGAGCTTCCAGTCACTATAAGTATAGTAACTTTGAAGTCACTATAAGTATAGTAACTTTGAATTTTTTACCTGCTATAGCAGTTTTTGCAGATCGATAAAAACGTTGAAACCTGCTATTAATAATTAGGAGATTGAGAAGTGTTTCATATTGTAGGGAAATGACAAGGTGGAAGCTCTTAGAATCGACATGGGCGATCGAGATGTTCGAAAGTTGACAGAAGAAGGATTTAGGAAGTTATCAGGGGTGAGGTTTCTTCAAGTGAGGCATTGCAACATGACTGGAGATTTCAGTAAGATGCTTCCGAATACGCTATGGCTTCAGTTGCGCTTCTGTCGTTCAATCCCAGATGATGTTAACTTGAAGAAAGTGGCGATTCTTGATTTGAAAGGATCCTACCTTAGGGATGGCTGGAGAGGCTGGCAAAGAGCGAAGGTACTGTAAATCAAACTATGTTTCCTCCTCTCTCTTTTTTTTTTTTATTAAGAAGGAAAATTGATTGTAACTGCAATGATACAGAAGGAGGGTAAGAAGCTGAAAGTGGTAAATCTAGAGGGATGCAGTGGCCTGGTGAAAGCTCCTGACTTGTCCTCCTGTCGCAGTCTAGAAGTGATAAATGTTGAGGGCTGCTATAACATGGGAGGGGAACTGCATATCGGCAATTTCAAGAATTTGAAAAGGTTGAGCCTCCTGGGCTCTAAGATATCAGCGTTGAAAGGTGACATTGGAATGCTTCAAGATCTGACAGAGATTGATGCCCCAAATTTGAAAGAATTCCCTGCTGGTATTGGTGACCTACGCTCTTTGGAAATCTTGAGGGTGACTCCGGCGGATGCACCTATATCTGTACCTGCATTCCCCACAAGTTTGAAGCAATTAACCATTTCGACCCCCAGGTTTCCCAATCTGTTGGAGCTCAAGGACTTGGAGGAGCTACGCCTTGAGCGTTGTGCGCCTGAAATTCCTGGAGATATATGGTTGCACCTGACCAAGTTGAAGATACTGACAGTGTCTTCTTTCAGAGGCAAAAGTCTACTAATGCAGGTAAAGCAGTCAACAGCAGAGAGTACTATCAGTGGTACTAGTAGTAATGGGATCATGAGAGACTCATCTTCCCATCTCCCATCCTCTCTAAACAGCCTTGCTTTGTCTTTTTGTTTCAAATTGGAGACACTGCCGAATCTTGCGAATCTAAGTAATTTGACCCAACTACGACTTGAACTGGTTTTGGTAGACGAGATACGTGGTCTGGGAGAGCTGGGAATGTTGGAAACTCTTCAAGTATCTAGTGCCCAGAACCTAAAAAGTCTTGACGGTCTGCAAAATTTGGTGCTCCTGCAACAGCTTACTGTGGAACACTGTGGTGCTCTGGAAAAACTGCCCTGTATTGCCAATTTGACCATGTTAAACACATTGGTCATCCGTAGTTGCAGGCTCCTGTTTGAAATCCAAGGGCCGTATGCATCGATGGGAGGGTCCTGTTTAACACGTCTGGAAATAAGCCGTTGTCCCAAGTTAGCCAATGTTGAAGGCCTTCTTCAACCTCTGCAAGCACTCAACACTTTGAATTTGGAAAGCTTTCCATCACTAGAAACACTGCTACTACGTCTCTCTTCTTTCAGCAACCTGAAGAAGTTATATGTTCATGGATCCCGTCCAGGCGATGATTTGGATACTACGTCTGTGCCATCGGTACATATCATGGATCTGTCCGGTCTTGTTAATCTACAAGTTATGAATATTTCAGGATGCCAGCAACTGACCGGGATTACGGGGTTTTACGCATTGCAGTGGCTAGAAGTGCTAACTATTTCGTACTGCACCTCCATTCGGAAACTCTCGAATCTATCTGGCCTCAAGAGTTTGAAGAAACTAACCATTTGCGATGCAACACAATTGACTGTGATGGAAGAGATCGACCAGTTGGAATCGCTAGAATGGCTGCAGATGGATGGGTGCACGGGGATAAAGAAGCTGCCACATCTGCGCAATCTCAGAAACCTGAAGCAGTTGATTATTAGCGGGTGTACATCAATTATCAAGTTGCCGAATCTGTGTGGTCTCACAAGTTTGACAACTTTGGAAATTAAAGGATTCACACAACTCTCAGAAGTCACAAGGCTAGAAAGACTGGAGTCGCTGGTACGTCTAAAGTTGATTGATTGCGGATTAGTTGTGAGGTTGCCTGATGTATCTGAACTGAAGAATCTGAAAGTGTTAATCATCAGCGGATGCACACAGTTGACGGAGATCACGGGACTCGAGAGTTTGGAAGCGTTACAAGTGCTAGCTATGTCGAGCTGTGAGTCGATTTACGAATTGCCAGATCTATCTTACCTTGAGCATCTCAGGTATTTGAATATCAGCGGATGTACGCAGTTAACGCAGGTCATGGGAGTGGAGAGGTTGGGATCGTTGGAAGTGCTAGCTATGTCACAGTGCAAGTCGATCAAAGAGCTGCCGGATTTATCTGCTCTAAAGAATCTGAGGCACTTGGATATTAGAGAATGCAGCAAGTTGACTGGAATCATTGGCCTCCACAAATTACAGTGTAGGCGAATACTAAGGGTGCACGATCCAGCATTTATTTCCTACTACCTCAATCTGTAAATCAGAATCGAAGCCCAGCAGTAACCCCCACAGTCGATATCTCAAAGCCCAGTTGATAGTTGGCTTTAAGGTTTTGACATTTTAGGTTCGCTGGTTTTGGTTTTGAATGACTTTGAGTAGCGAATTATTGTATTTTGATGACCAGGCGAGGTGATATAGCAATTTACACAACGGCAGCAGCATCATTCGGAGAAACATGAACAATACACAATCTTTAAGGTTTATTAGGTTTCATTTTTGTTTCGTATTGTTACTTCTAGTTCGCAATGCGGACTTTACTTTGTATATATTCTTCTACAGTAATTCACTAACTTCAAAGCAGTTAAAAACCCAGCTTGGCATGCAAGAAACATGGATGGGACCATTAGAGAGATCGCTTAAATAGCAACTTTAACATTAACCTTCTCGATCCATATAACAAAAGCATCCCACTCCAAACAAAACAAAGTTTGCCTTGTTTCAGTAATACATCAAGAGACCACAAATTCAACGAACAGCAAGATCAGAGAAATATTCCAGCCTCGGAGAACAGTTTGCAGCACCATGGATCATAAGAGAGATATTTATAGGCTCTGCTATTCTCACTTTTTGGGTTCAGCACATCAGGTGGTAAGCTCCATGATAGCAGAAACTATGTCACCATCTGCAGCCTTGAGAGACTTCACAGCTTGTGGCCTAGATACTCCTGCCTGTGTCATCACCAACTCAATGTCCTTCGGCTCGACTCCAGTTTCATCCACCTCTTCATCATCCTGAGCCATGGCGGAAGTCTCAGGTTTCTGAATCACGTGACTCAGATCGGGAGCCTTGAACTGCTCTGCCGCTTGAGTCTGGAGTTGTGAACTTATGTCCTCAATCTTAGCCTCTCCAAAGACTATGTAGGTGTCTGATGTTGGGCTCTTGAAGACATCGGGTTTCGAGATGACAAACAAAATCTGTTTTGTTTTAAGAAATGAAATTTCACCATTAATCCCAGAGTTAAACAAGATGAAAGAAGATTGGTTTTTGAATAGTGGGGAGGAGAGAGAGAGAGAGAGAGAGAGAGAGAGAGATAACCTACATTCTTGCTCTTTTTGACAGTAACTCGACTGACACCGGTCATGGGCTTCATTCCTAGCTTCAACATTGCTTTACGACTCTTCTTTTCACTTCTAGTTTGCTTTGATCTGCCACTTCCATCTCCAAGCCCTGTGAGTAAGAAGAGAAGATAAATTTGATAGGTGAAACAAAAAGAAAGGTGACTCTATATATTTCATTATCAGAGGCCTAATAACTTAGATAATATGAGACCAAACATACAAGGAGTAAGGGTTGCGGCATAGATCAAATAACAAAGCTTTTGCAGGTTTAGACAGATCAAATTTCAAAAAAGGACACCAAAACCAAGATATAAGAAACCATTCAAATGACAGATAATTCTGACCTCGTACACTAGACAAAGTAGATTAACACTCACACTACCATCAGACGAAGTCACAGTAGAAGACTTGAAGACTCCATAATAAATGCAAAGGGTCAGCACAATGAAGCAATTGACATTAACCCTGGGTAGGCAGTATCATAACTAAAAGTATACCTATTGGAGCTTCTGATAGGTTGTACGCAAGTTGTGCAATTGACAAGGAACTCCTTACAGCTAAGACTATCAAGAATATACTACCAAACAGTGATAATGAACAATACGGGCTCAGTCTCTACCTTCCAAGTCATCTTCATCCTTGTCATCGTCATCTTCATCATCCTCGTCATCATCTTCGTCATCCTCAACTACGGGTTGTTCAGGCTGCATTTAAAATTCATCATCAGAAGAGAGTAAAGGCAAATAAAGACGCGGTGGTATTGCTTGAGCTGTACGATATGACAGGTCAAACAGATAACAGCATATGTACTGTATGTATAGCCACAACTATTGAGGCTGACTGCATAAAAGACTTCTACATAATAAATGCGATCTCAGTAGCAACAATTAGAGGAAGACAAGAAAAAGGCACCATAGCGTAGTTTGCTTCTAAACCTCACGACTCAAATCAGAAGGGGATATGTCTAAGCAAGTTATGTCCTTTGTTTCGATTGTAATTCCCAGCTCCACAAAATGTTCAGTAGTAATCAAGATTGTTCAGCATATTCCATTATCAACTCCATATCAGGATCAGTAGTTCAACTTATCTCCATAATGAAAGATCAAACTCCTGACATAGAATCCATCTTATAGAACGAGAAAAATCACTTGCAGCAATAGGAGCAGTGCCAATTTCAACTAGCATTGAACAAAAGCAACAGGTTTTGACCGAGTTTAGGGGGCAAAACGTCTATCCAACATAACATACAGCACAACCCACCGGCCGTTATCAATAACAATGAATTTAATTCCCACACACATGAGGTCCAAACCGAAATCGAAACCTCATCTGCTTCTCACTGCTGACTAAGAACAAAAGCAAACAATCCCCCGAACAGAAACCTCAAACATTTGTATCCGGCAGATCTGATAAAAAAAAACTACCATAAAAAAATACAAGCTTTCTGAGGAAATAAAAAGCTTGGACCATCACAGTAATACCCAATTGAGATCCATCGGAAAAAGAAGAAGATAAAACATCTAGAAGAACGAAAACGATGCTAGATCCATATCAACATGAGACAAAGACAGACGTTCTACGGCACCAGATAGAGAGCAAGGGATTACATCTTGAAGCTTCTGAGCTTCGAGCTGGGCGGCCAACAACTGCTCCTGCGTCTCTGCAGTCATGCTTGCGGTTTTACTTGTTTTCCTTTCGGGTATAGTTCAGTGAGGAGGAGGAGGAGAAGAAAGCAAACGACTGGGTCACCGAACGCTGAAGAACACAAAACCCTAAAACCTCCGGCCGAATTTTCTCCGTACTAATATAACTTGCGAAGACATCGTGGCTTTTCGCAACCTCGCAGTCCCACTCTCGAATTTGGGCTTGCTTTTGGGCTTAGACTACTGAAGGGCCCATACACCAGAGACATGCCTGTGTGGCCACAATAAAATCCAACCAAACACCATCGGTATTATTTTTGCCTAATTTCCCCAACGGGTTAATTGCATGGTTGGTCACTGAGATTACAAAAAACGTTCATATTTGGTTACTGAAAATATTTAAATTCATTGGTTGTCATTTAATTTAGTGAAATCGTTCACGTTTGGTCATTCTTCGTTAGTTGACGTCCATCTCCGTTAATGTAGTCCGTTAGGTACTGACGTGGCCGACGGAAACGTCTAATCAGCCTTATTTGACCCGAAAATAATGAGACCCGACCTGCCACGTCAATAAATCCTCCATGTCATCTGACCAACCCAACCCTCTAACCAGACCAGACCCAACCTTTGAACCAACCCGCACAAATTAAATCCCTAAAATCTCAAACACATCTCCACCTAATCCCCTTATTCAATCGTTAGCCTCCTTCCTACGGACTTTCTTCCTCCATTCCACTGTCCATGGACAAAGGGGAAGAAAAAGCAAAGCACCAACACAGCAGCCGCCGAATAACTCAAGAAAAAAGGAGTAAAGCATTTGGGTCGGATTCATTCATATAAGAAGGCATATATTTCAAATCTCTCATTTCCCCTCCATGGTAACAACCCCTACCCTAGCTCGCCAACCCCTGAATCCTTTGTTCTCCGGTGAGGCCGAGAAAATCAGCGGTGGCAGTGCAATCAGGCCAGATCCAGCAATTGATGGACACCTTCAAGCGATTTGATATGGACTCCGACGACAATATCATCCACCCGGAGTTGGCCACCCTCTTCCGCTCCCTCGGCCTCAAGCCCACCGGCGACCAACTCCACTCCCTCATCTCCAACATTGACGGCAACGGCAACGACTACGTCGAGTTCGACGAGCTCGTCTCCGCCATCCTCCCCGACATTAACGAGGAGGTCCTCATTAACTAGGAGAAGCTCCTCGAGGTCTTCTAGTCCTTCACGACTACATCACCGCCATCGAGCTCACTGGATCCATGGCCAAGATGGGCCACCCGATCTCCTACAAGGAGCTGCTGGAGATGATGCGCCAGGCCGATACCAATGGGGATGGCGTCCTTAGTTTCCAGGAGTTCGCCAACATCCTCGCCAGATCCGCCGCTGAAGGGGGATAGATGGAGATCTGTTTTAGATTTTAGATATTTAATTTGTGTGGGTCGGTTCAAAGGTTTGGTCTAGTTAGAGGGTTGGATTGGTCTAGATGACATGGCGGGTTTTATTGACGTGGCGGGTCGGGTTTCACTATTTGCGGGGTAAATAGGGGCTGATTAGACGTTTCCGTCTGCCACATCAGCACTTAACGGACTACATTAACGGAGATGGACGGCGACTAACGGAGAGTGACCAAACGTGAACGGTTTTACTAAATTAAGTGACCACCGATAAATTTAAATATTTTCAGTGACCAAACATAAACGTTCTTTTAATCTCAGTGACCAACCATGCAATTAACCCTTTCCTCAACTATAATAGGATGCGAACTAAAATAAATGGTTAGCACCCCATTCCATCAGTCAAACGTGGAAAGTATTCATAGGACCTTGACACGCAATATTGTCACCGCCCGTCGCGTGAGCGATCCTGGGGAAAATTGAACTTTCTTCTTCACGCGTTTGGTTTTCGAGAAAGTGCTGAAGCTCGGGACAATTTGCCACTCTTTTTCCATTTCTTTTTCTCGAGCTAAATAAAAAAAAAAATGTAAATGACAGAGCAAATAAGAGGAAAGATGAAAGAACGATGATAGCAAACCCTAATCCATATCTTAATGGTTGAAATGAAGTGAGATAGATTGCTCCGTGCTCAATTTTAGCATCGTCGCTCTACTCCGTCGGCAATCCCACGGTTGTCACTTGTCAGTGTCAGCTTCGGTCTCCGGCGAAAAGATCACTGCCTTCTGTTCCTCCCTCACATCCTCTCTCCCTCCTTTCGCACAGGTACTTCCTCGATTCCAAATGTGCAGGAATTTCACTTAGTGCTTGAACTTTGATTTTCGTCTGAGTTCACCGATGTGCATTCATACGGAGTGAATTGCTAGTTTGGAGCAAAGGTTATTGCGTTAGCTCATCTGTCAATCTCCGGTCCATCTCAGTAGAATGAGTTTGTTAGTACAGTGTTCATACTTCTTACTTTGACTTTCCAGCTTGGGACGCAATGGCGGTTACATCTTAGCTTGTTCTGAAGATCAAGTTTGTAGCGATAGTTTTAGTTTCGGATTATAATATAGTGGCAAGGTTTCATTCCTTTGCTGAAGACCTCATATCGGTTGAACTAGAATGCTCATCTCGTACATTGTGCTGATTTGTGTAATGATGTGTTACACGCTGAAATTAAATAATAAATCCCACCTCTGGATCCAATGGGACTCCGGCGGTTTGTTCTTAATGTGTTCCCGTGGAAGTTGGAACACATTGTTCACAGGCAGCTAAGCCGCTAGACAAATGTGTTGATATTGTGAGGGTGCAATGACATCACTTGTTCGCCTGAACTAGATTCACCATGTTCTCATTTAGAATGTTTTTAAGCAAATGGTTGGTTGGTTTGTGCTGTCATTATCATAGTGATGATAAAACTTGTTCAACTAACTAGTCAGATGGGCTTTCATTTTGCTGAGCTTCAATATTACCACATTTTACTTTCCTTTTCCATGACTTGGATGACCAGATACTAATGATCTAAAGTGGAAAGAGACTAGAATCTTCGAGTTTTCCATAACTTCCTTTCCTTGTTGCTTGCTTGTACTTGTATGCCTGAGTGTGTTTCAACTGAAATCTAGATACATGTTTGCTTCCCTCTTTCCATGTAAGTTTTACTTAAGATATTATGACTGTGCATGCAAATGAACTAAGCGAGACATTTTGTTTTTGGTCTTTTATGTATGCCTTTTTACATTATAGTGTGTAGATAACCACATGAAAACAGAATTAAGATCTGAAGAAAGGAGAAAACTCCCCTTCTTTTGGCGCTGAACTTTGGGATTTGATGTACTGTGGTTATCTACACTCTGCCGAAACCCCAAATGAAAGAAGCATATGTGGTCCACCTGGAAAGGTCCCCACTCAGCTTATCTATTGCAGAAGGACTTCCTTTATTTGCATGGAATTGTCAATCTGATAGGTTTACGTTTCCTGGACTTCTTACTCTCTTAGACTAATGTGCTATGATTGTGATTTACTTTGTTTTGATGCTGAAACTGAAGGTGCTGCTTCTTTTAGTATTGTCGTTCTGATTGGTATTGATGATACTGGATCGAAGCATTTTAGTAGGTTTAGATCAAATTTTACAAGAATCTAGTGGTGGCAATTTTTTTCCAATACCATGATTGACTGAGGAGGAGCCTTTATTTCCCCTTTGGTTGGCTTGGGAATTGATGACTGCTACCACTTGCAAGCTTAGCAAATGAGGAAGTTCTCTTTCAACAGTGTGATTGACTGGGATGTCATTTCTTTTACTTAGGAAAATGGATCACTGCGACTTGCAAGCTCAGAGAAGGGAGATGAAGCACAAGGGGAGAAACGTTGTCTGGTCCATTGGAATGGACAAGTGCCTGATCGAATCCCTAGCTATTCAGGCTAGGAAAGGGAACAAGATAGACAAATGCTTCAACGAGAATGCATATAGTTCCGCTTGCATAGCTGTCAATTCTCAGTTTAACTTGAACTTGAACAATCAGAAAGTTGTGAATCGGCTTAAGACCATCAAGAAAAGGTACAAGGTCATAAGGGATGCACTTAATCAAGATGGGTTCAGGTGGAATCCTGGTACGAAGATGATTGACTGTGAAAGTGAGGAGCTTTGGAAGAGATACATTGCTGTAAGTTTACTTGCCCCTTCTATTCTGTCATATGCTTCTGCACTTTTAAGCTATTAATAATTTGTGGGGTTCAGGGTGAATAATAGTTGTGAAAGGTTATATCGAAGAAATATGATTGTTAGCGTTGTCTCGACTTCTTTCTAATGAAGTTCTTTTATTCTATATAACTAAAACAAATACAGAGGGTGTCGTATTTTGGCAAAAGTACTGTACTTCCATCACTTATGCTTAGTCCATTGTGCTTTTAAATTAAACATTTTAACTGCTGGTGGATGTTTAGGCACACCCAGATGCAAGAGGAATTAAAGGGAAGCAGATTGATATGTACGAAGAACTACAAGTCGTTTGTGGGAACTACCAAGTGCCTAGTAGTTGGGCTAAGACGAGAGACGGACATTATCCTACAAGAAATTTTGAAGAAGACTCTGCTTCATTCGTGTCGCCAAGTACAGAAGATGCAAGTGATACTGATGGAACCAACTCATATACAGTACCAGAAGAAGAAGAAGAAGAGTTTATGCAAGATGGACGTCATCAAGAACCTTTTCTTCCACCACGACCGCCACTTATTCAACCTGTAAAGCAGCAGCTTCCCAAAAGACCAAGCAGCAGAGAGGCACTTCAGGAGGCAATGCTGGCAATCTCATCGAGCATCCGTCGTTTGGCCGATGCAGTTGAGCAAAGTAAAACGCCTCTAGATTCGTCGGAACTTTTGAAGGCGGTGATGGAGATAGATGGATTGGAAGAGGGTAAGCAAATGTATGCCTTCGAGTGCTTGAATGCTGACCCTATTAAAGCCAGAGCGTTCATGACTTACAATGTCCGAATGAGGAAGGTCTATTTGTTCCGTCAGTTTTGGTGGTGGAGATGATACGAGGTCCCAAACATTTTGATTAGGGGATCTGGTTTCCCTTCTCTTTTCCTATTGTTTCTCCCCCACTAATTGTTCTACAGTTTAACCTAGCTGGGGGAAAGGATTGATAATGGTGGGGCGGTTGTAGCTTACGAAAAGCCGAAAATGGTGCTTGATGTTGGAGAGGCGACTCGTGTACAGATAACACTACTTGTTCGTGATGAATAGTGAATTACAAATTTACAGCACACAACAAACTGTAGACCTTCAAAGACCTCCTGAATAGCAATGAAGCCACAGTAGTCACTCTAGGATCGGCACCATCGGTAGCTTGGGTATAGATTAGATGCTACAAGAGTCCCTTAAGCTCCACGAAACCCAGCAAATATACCTGTACGAAATGAAACAAGCAAACTATTATAAAACAGATATCCAGTGTCGCATTCCAATAATGTTTATATTACCTATGTAGTGTGTTAAGATCATAGTAAAATTTGGGCCCGTTGGCCGGATGAATTTCGTTAATAGTATAATAAATAATCATAAAATATTGTCTGAAGCCAAAAATTTCAAATCATCTAGTTACTGAGAATATCATACTCGTATAATTTTCAACATGCTAACCCAATATCTTGCTAGAATAACATATTATTTTTATTCCAAAATATGTCAAAATGAAGGTTTTGTCTTCTGCGCATGCACATTTTTGGGTGCATGTTATGCACTCGCCTCATAATCGTCATTCTAAGTAGGCGATTCATATCAAAATGGTGTCAATCATTACTTGTATGATAGACAATAAAACTCACGAATTTACACAAAAGTCACTCAAGATTTACTTTGATTTAAATGATTTAGTGTTTAGGAGTTTTGGGTTAGGGTTTACAATTTGGGGTTTAGGATAATGCATTGATTGGGTATGATCCAATATTATATTATCCTATTAGACTAATGGCACCAATATCATTTTTCATTTTTCTAACTCTGCCACTAATGCACATCAATCACTCGTCATAAATTAAATTTATCTTGAACTTACTAAACAACTCGATTCAACCATCATCAAGAACGGACACTATTTTTTATTTATTAAATTTCGATTCCAAAAAATAAACTATATTAATTACGGACCAATCCCAAGTATAAAGGTGATAGTCAGGTCGATTAGCAATTAGCTTTTAATTGATATTGCGATTCGCAGTCACTCGTTAACTAGAAAATCACTACCATTAGCCGACCCATTCAAACTTGTCTGTTAACTGTTAGCTGTTAACCAATAATGTGATTAGTGATTATTAAATTGGGTAACCGCCTACCAGCCAACTAAAACACCGTAGTTTTTATTCACACTAAATCTACCTAATAAATAAAAGCCAAATGAGTAAACTTGAAGCCCCATTTCAAATTTCCTGCAGCCAGAGTGAAAGTAGGAAGGGTAGATTCGTCTTCACAGTAATTTATGATTTTTTTTATTTACAGAAAAAACACATCAGTGATGAGATTTGAACCGTGGTCTCTTCAAACAAAGATAAGAAACATAATCAGTTACAATAAACACATTTGTGTGCTTTTTTCAATTAAAAACATATAGGAAGCTTAATCAGAAAAATCATAGGACTTTTCCACCACAATTAGCAATCGAAATGTCATTGATTCAACTATTGCATATCGAATTGCACTCTTGAACATGTAGAAGCGATGTAAAATTCTTAACATAGACTTAATTGTTATAGCTACCATAAAGTAATGATATTTTTAAACATAGAACTTTTAATTGAATATGGGGCACATGTGTCTTTAAGAGAGGGGTAAATATGAAAAGTTTGAGTGATGTTGGTTTGCCGAACGTAGATGAAAAATACACTACTAATGTAAACGGGCCCAAATAGTGCCCCGACCCACTAAACGTTCTACCATCGCCTTCTCATCAGAATCAACAACCGGCTAACCTCCTCTACCTCTATTGTTATGGCAGAGCAATTTTTGGAGGGGTAAATATGAAAAAATTGAGTGTTGTTGGTTTGCCCAACGCGAATGGAAAAGGCACTACTAATGTAAACGGGCCCAAATAGTTTCTGACCCACTAAATGCTCAATCACCCGGGTTACTTTCGCTACACCTATTATAATAGTGAAATGGGAAATGAGTTTTCCCCATTACAAAGTCCTAGCATCCATAGCAAAAGTAGGAAGGATATGTTCGTCTACACAGTCATTTATTATTTTCTTTTTTACAGCAAAAATGCACAAGTGATGAGATTTGAATTGTGATCTATTTGAGAAAAGACAAGAAACATAACAATTTACACAAAAAAAATTTATTTAAAATTTTTAAATTAAAAACACACTGGAAGTTTAAATCTGAAAAATCATAGACATTTTCCATCATAGTTAGCTAAGCTACTAACTCTCCCCTAAATATTTTTTTGGTATTTGATACTTCTATTTTCATACTTTTATTATTTTAATTCAAGTTTAATAACTAATTTTATTTTTATTTATCTAATGAAAGGAGAATAATCTTTAAAATTGCAAGCCTAATGTCATTGATGCAAATATTGCACATCGAATTACAGTATTGAATGTGTAGAAGCGAAGCAAAAGTCTTGAAATAGACTTAAATAATATAACTACCATAAAGCAACAATATTTTTGAACATAGAAGTTTTGAGTGAATAGGGGCAAATGTGTCTTTAAGAGGGGTAAATATGGAAAGGTTGACTGATGTTGGTTTGTCGAATGCAGATTGAAAAGTGGCAACTAACATAATGTAAACGCGTCTAAATGGTGTCCTGACCTACTAACGCTCAACCATTCCCGTCTCTCCAAGCCTTCCCACCGTACTCGACAACTGCCTAACCTACTCCACTTATATTGTTATGCAAAGCAATTTTCGGAGGGGTAAATATGGAAATGTTGAGTGTTCTTGCTTGGAGAGTTGACTGGTGGGTTATGTAGCTTCTTTGACAATAATGTGTGATCTCTTTACATCAGTTCATTTGGTGATCTTCTAGGTTGACTTTTGATTTTATTAAAGATAAACATATTCCTGGGTTCCCGACCTACTAAACGCGCAGCCATCGCCGTCTCTCCAAACCTTCCCATCGGAATCAACCACCGCCAAACCTCCTCCACCTATATTGTTACGCAAAACAATTTTCGGAGGGGTAAGTAGGGAAAGGTTGAGTGTTCTTGCTTGATGAGCTGACTGTTGGGTAATTTAGTTTCTTTGACAGTAATGTGTGATCACTTAACATGAGTTCATTTGGTTGATCTTCTAGGTTGACTTTTGAGTTGATTAAAGATAAATAGCTATATTTTTTGTTGCTTTTGTTACGATACTCCTTTTTAGTATCATCATTTTCTAATTTGAAATGTTTTTGTGGTTAGTTTCCAGTAAACAAAGACTATTCTGATTAGTGTTAACATAGAGAATAGCTTCAATCATACCACTTTTACACAAAATTTATATGTAAGAGCTGAGATCATTGCCGAATTGAACTATTCAAGCTATAGTGATGATCTTCAACATATAAAACATGGTTTCTTTTGATGAAATAACCTCATGATTGCATATTAGTTTTTACAATATGATGTTTTGTGATTGTGGTCACTTACTTCTAGATTTAAAAGTGAGGTTCTAATTACTACAATATAAAAAGTAGGAGTGAAAGCGATAATTGGAGATGATACAAGATGGTTTGATATCATTCTCTCTACAAGGAATAATTACATGGTGAGCCTATGTTGTCATGGGAAGGACAATCCGAACTCTTTGTGTTTGTAGTATAGCAGGTTGATATATACGCATGTCTAGACCCGATCGATTGGACATCTCCACCTGGAATTTATTGACAGGATTTTTGCTCATCAAAACCGCGTGTCAAGTAAGGTCCCTCCTTAATCCTTATATTTTTCTTAATCTGCAAATGCACACCCTCATAGGAAACATGTACAGAATTTTAATTTGGGTGCTTCATTAGTATTGTTTCCATAAGATTGTATTATTTGATGTGGTTGTTCTAGAATTGTGAATCATGATTGGATCTCCTCTAAGAAATTGTCAAGTTAAGCTATAAAAGAGGTTAACCTGAGCTTCCTCTTTAATTTAGATGGTAAGAGAGCAATGACCCATGTCAAATTGATTGGGGTTGACAATGTCTAAGAAACGATTTAGCCTTTTTTGGAGTATCACAAGATCCTGGTAGTATCTCAACCAAAACAATTTTTGTTTTCATGACTGATGTTGATGCAAGTTGTTTACCTAGAGGAGAGCACCAGCAAGTTAGCTCTCGGAGTTGCGATGCGAAAATGGGTAAGGTAGAAATGGTGTATACAAAAGGTCATACTATGATCATATAGAATGCATTGGTAGAGATAGTCATCAATCTCATTTTATTGACGAAGCCACCGACGAGAAAAGAGGAATCAGCATTGGTACTCTAAATTTTACAAGCAATTATAATGATCGTTACTTTCATTTCATGTAAATTTGTATTATGACTGAAGTGATATTACCCCAAGCCATAAATTGTAGCAAGGAATGGTGGTTTGAATTAATGTGCACTGATGCAAAATGTTATGTAGCTGCCACAAAGGAGTAAGCGTGGGCTAATCAGTGTGTTTGCTGTCGATAAGGATAAAAATCGTGATAATGAGGAGGATTCATGACGATTGACGTATACATATTGAAGAGATAAAACTTACAGAGCTGTAAATCATTTGTGCGTTTAGTGTAACAGAGTGGTTATGAGTGATTTGGTAGGATTTCACAGTGGTATGGATATTGACAAAAGTTATTATGTGTTGGTGCTTCCAGGCATATTGCTTGCCTGTTTCTTTTATTTGTATATGAGATTTTTACAGCAGATTGTATGCTTTATATTTTTCTGTCATTTTAATTAACAAAACTATTTATAAGAAAAAACTCACCGACGCATTCCATCGACATGATTTAGACATTTCTGGTTTTTGTTTTCTCGGCCAGGGATTCATTGCTTTTGGTGTCACTGTGGTTGTTGGTCTAAAGGCAATCCAGTTTGGGTTTTTCTTATGAAATCTCTTGGTGGCTTCCATTTTTACCATCGACAATTGGAGCCAGGTAAGCATTACTTTGATTTTTTCATGTTCACTCTAGGGGCATCATTTAAGGCTAATGGCTTGGTTTATATTTGAAACATTCCGGCCAACGAGCTTTGTTTTTATCACTTTTAGTAATTAGTTTTTTCACATGTTATCAAACTACTTTGCTCCGTTGAAGAATAAGAGGTCATCTATTCGCCAGGTCTCAGGTGCTCTGACCCACACTATCGACTGTGAATGGAGTAGGAGCATTTCGAACACAAAATTGGAGAATTAATTAGATTATTTATAGTTTTCTCTCAATTCCAGACGGTCGGAAGAAAGAGAAAGGGAAGGGGGGGGGGGGAGTGGTGAGATATGAAGCTCAGAGAGAGATGGAAGAACAAAATGGAAAAAGAAAGAGGAAGGCAAAGAGAGAGTGAGATTGAACATTTAAAAGAGGGGGAAAAGGAGGTAGTGTGAAATAATTGTTCTTATGCTTTGCATAGTGTTTATTGTTTGCCCTATTCTGTTGAGTTTTGAATTATTTTAGGGGAGAAATTATATTTAACAGACATTTTTCATTTCAATTTAAAATCCTAAATCAATATTATTGTTTGGATGATTTTTTCTTAAAACAATTATTGTAGTTTATGAGAATAAGCGGTGTTCGATAATGTCAATATTTCAGTGATTTTTTTATTTAAAGTTTTTGAATTGAAAGATCGTAAGTACCGGCTGTTCGACCATAAAACTTCACACTATAGGCAAAATCGGTAGATGACATTTAGCAATATGAAACGGTTAAACCACAGTAAAATTATGACTTCAGTATAAAATACTCTACCACCAACTTTTTCGATACGATTTTACAATCGTTGGTTCAAACAATTCTTTTACACCGGTAGAAACAAAAAGTTACAAGACACATTTTGAACTATCTATTGCAAAAAAAAAAAAAAAACATAATTCAGTTAGCTATAATGCTTAATTCAAGCCAAAAGACACTTTGCAATTTCTATCTTTTTAAAATAAATGTATGCTACTCATACCCTTGCTCATTCATCAACTTAATGAGTAACATATATTTCATAGGTTTTATTTATTTAATTATTTCGTGAAAAAATATTTGCTGCGTAAAAATTACTACTTTGTTGCTATATATGTCTGCAATCTGAGAATAATTTGGGAAGTCCGTACACAACACATTGTCCAACTAACTATTAGTGACAACTTAGAAGCATGTACAATATACTTCAAATCAATCAACTTCGGATTCATAACCAACGGTGTGGTAAAAAAAAAGTTCTCTATTGGGAAAAACTTAATGAACATTTTTATAAGAGACATTTTCTTTCATCCTAAAAACTGATTATGTATGTATTATGAGAAGCAACTCTAATATTCAACTATTTTGTTTAATTAAGTAATGAATGAAAATTAGTTATATTTATTTCTTTTTTCATTCAATTTGCATGCAATTTCTCTTTTCATAAGATCTAAACACATTTTGTATAGTTAAATCACTTCAAAAATGTTATGTGCATAAGTAAGATACAAAATACTCATTTTATGCATTTCAAATTATCTATTATATTCATTATTATATACTATATTTCTCGACAAAATTTTCCCGACCAACGGGTCGGGCCCTGTGCTAGTTATATAAAAAATAAACGAAAACACTATTCTTGATCGAGCTTGAATGGAGAGTGAGGATCATTAAGAGGTGGCAGGAGCAGTTGCAGAGAGTATGGTGGCTTGGTTTAGCAGAGATTGAACAAAGCGTTACCGAGAAAGCGAGGAGCATGAAGCCTGTAAAAGCTATGGCAACCGTTAATTCAGAGAAATTCAAGGTGGCTGATGCAATGCAAGGTTAGTTGTAGGAGAACTGGAGTTGACATTGCTGCACAAGGAGTCGACTAGAATTTTGGAGGTGGAAAAGGAGATAGGAGATAGGCCAATCTAGATTTTCCAGCCCACAGACGAATCTCTTTCCTTTTTTAGGTTAATATAGATTCTAAGCCAATTTTTTTTCACACAGCCAAACAAGACAAGAACAGAGGCGAATAGTAAACAAAACTACCTCATCTTTAGTCGCTCTGACATGTGATCAGAACCACATCGGAACTTCCAGAGAATCAATGAATTTGGGAACAGTTCGAGTTCCTTATCGACGAGGAGTAGTTCGAGTTCGTCGATAAGTTTTAGAACACAAATGTGGGGATGAGTAGAATGTGTGTCTTCATTATTCTCACTTAGATTGTTCAAAATCACTCTCAGTCGTCCTTCTTCGTCTCAACTAGGTTTAAATCGAATCGTAACAGTCCCGAGTGACACAAATGGATAAGATCAATCAGGTTAAGTTTAATTACCGGTCAAGACGATTGATACAAATGGATCAAGTGAGTACAAGTCACGAGTGGTGTCAAATTATGAGTCAAGACATGTGATATTGGATGAAGATCGATAATAACTGGTTATGGTTACCACATGTAGTCAGAATTTGTGGGATACGACTTGAGAGATAAATCCAGTAGTTGCAGGACTTTCTTGGTTTTCAGATGAACCTCAATCCCCCAAAACGTCATCTGGAATGCAAACCAAACACAATTTTCTCTGTTTCAAAACACAGCACAGAAATTGAAACGGCTAGTAGTCATGATTCATAAAAGCCTAATACAGAGAAGTCATGCTGTAAATCATGAGTTCAATTCAGTCGATTCAGATGCACACAAGTCTCGGCTATACATATCCACATCACACACACTGATGCAATCCATTCGACGCTTCCATGTATCTCAGGGAAATAGCAGAAGCATCATGGAAGGAACTTGCATTCACAGTTCACAAACCAGAGATCTATTAGCGGTGGCACTTACTCAACAATGCCGCATCAACAAACACAAGCAAGACAGATCTGTTTGCCTCCAACCACAGAGAAGCAGCAGAAATTTCCAGAGCAAGTAGATGTGCATCTCCAAAAAAAACACGAGTCCCATATCCAGCTCACTTACCTGCTCAATGTTACGTGCAGAAATCAAAAGCAGTCCATCATAAATCCACTTGAACGCAAGGTGCGAGTATAAACAACCAAACATAGACGAGCTTGTGGCAGACCTGAAGCAAGACTTGGCATATCTAGCTTAGCTCAACGTCTGTCTACCTCTAATCTATTACTCCAAGTAAATCACCGGATTCTCAAGAGTGGCGGTCTATAATAATAAATATAATTAATGCTAAAGTTAACTAAGAACTTTTTCTCAAGGACATTCCCAAACTACAGCTAAACCCACCCATGTTTCATGAGAAAAGAAAGACAGGTTTAAGTCCAATTAACAGAAACCACAAAGAGTGTAAGCACAGTGAAGGCGGTTTACACCAGTAAATAAGTCCAGTACATAAACAGAACCAAAGAGCATGATGGTGATGGTACTTGTAGGATTTACTCAAGGTCACAGGAAATAAATCTATCTTAGTTTTTATACTTAGACTAGATTATGCTGTTCATTAGATCCTAGGGCAAATTCAGGTACCACTCTAGGAAATTATCCCAGAATCGATCCAATCGAAGACATTACACTATTAATCCTATAAATCAAAATCTGGTAACAAAGCTCCATCAAATCTTATTTTCCTCAGCCATCCCAGAATTAACACATACCCAACAAGAACACAAGATATTATTAGTTATGACCCTGCATATGAAATATCAAATATAACATAAAAGGGACAGATATAGAGTGTCAATCACTACTGACAGCGTATGATGCACTGTGAAGACATTATTTTCAAAAGAATACAGATCAATGGCGAGCAGTTACACACGTGGAGAACAATGAAAACGAACAGCAGCTAACATGCAAAAAAGAACAGTTCTTGATAAAAAGAAAAAAGACCTAACCTTTAAAAGTATGTAACTCACAATCCAATCTGAAGATGTATATCCTTGTACCAAAATCATTAAAATCCCTTCATGAAGTATACTGCTGAATCCTAGCAGCCATATTGGCCACCTGAGCTTGCATCTGCACTGCCCTAACTTTAGCCCCAGTTGCCCGGTGAAAGAATTGTTCTCTTGACAAGAACCTCACATTCCTCAGATACTGATCAAAGGGCATCGCTCCTTCCTGCACTGCCTTGTCTAACGAATAAACTACATCCTCAATGGCTAAATCTGCAGCAGTACATTCTAACATTTGCTTCGAAAGCGAGTCAGTGCATTCAAAAGCACTGTCCACATCAACTTCCCCCAAATTCCCTTTCACCTTCCCCTCGTTCTCCCTAACCCAAGCCTCCAAAATATCTGAATTCATCAACACCATCTGTAATTGTCCCTCTAACCCTTCTCTCTCATCCTGCAACTCCTTGAATCCCCTATTAACATCCTCCTCTCTCCTTCTCAAAACAGCTTGCGCACTGAACAAACCCTCCATCTCTGCTTCCCTAGTCTTCCTTAACTGGGAAATATCACCATGAGCCATTTCCACTATTTTGTTGATAGCATTCCTTCTATAAATCTCCGCCGGATCATCAGTCTGCGTGCGTGCAGGAGTAGCACTGCCACTGCCGTAAGGCGATGGAGGGTACGGCCTCGCCATAGGGCGCTGGTATGGGCTGTGTCCAGGTCCTGAAAAGGAGCCAAAACTTGACGAACTGGACAAATTGGAGGGATTGGTAGCAAAACTTGGACTAGGACTCGGGGTGGGATGGGGATGGGGATGAGGACTAGGGTTAGGGTTTGGATTGGAATTAGGGCGGCGCTGGGCATACAAAGGAGGATCACGGCCGAAAACAGCACTCAATTCATGAACCAGATCTTGCAAATTAGAGCTAGGGTAGATCCAATTCTGCAGATAAGGAACAGAGACCAACCCAGAAGGATTGACATGGGCGTGGGGACGCTTGATGATCATATCGCGAGTGGGATTGACGTAGACGCAAGGTGGGTATCGAGGGTATGAATCCATGAGCCAGATGATGACAGGGATGTTGTAGGTCACGCCTTGGAATGTCATCGGAATCGTGCCGTCGGCCTGCAAGAGGTTGACGGTGCGGCCATCGTTGTGGGTGAACATCGCCGTCTTGGGCTCCAGAGAAGGGACGCTGTTGACGAGAGCGAGGAGCTGTTGTCGGATGAGCCATTTGGTGTCTTCGCTGTAAGGGAGGGCGGAAGGGCCACGCTGAGAGAGTACGGAGGAGAGGAATTGCTGAATTGCCGGAGACGGCGATGGGCCTGCAGGTGTGGGCGCCATTTACTGGTTCCGATTGGTGGCGGCGACGGGGAGGAGGGGGGATACTGAAGCGGGGAAGGGATGGCCGACCGAAATCGTTTTGGTTCTGATTTGTGAATGAGAGGCTTTGCTTAGGAGAAGAGGTTTGCGTGTGAAGAAAACTCGGTTGGTCCAGAAACCAGAATATACTTATAATCGCTCGTATTCTACATCGTATTCGTATTTCATTTCATAATTTTTTTGGTTAATTGGACTCGTAAGTTCAAACTATTCTAATATATAATTTTGGAAGGAAGCGAACTGTAGCTAAGGAGGAGATCCTCCCCTGCGGACGCGACTAGGTGAGCTCCCTTTTATTTTGTCCTCTTGTATTCAGTATGAAAAGGACGTACACTATGCTTGGGTCGTCTTCTCTATTTTATCTTCTTGTATTCAATATGAAAGTGACGTGCACTATGCTTGGGTCCCTATAGTCGGTGTGCACTGTTGTTTCCCCGTAATTGCTTTATTGGAGGCTTTTAATCTCGTTGCATGTAGTTGTACCGTCACATAGCTGCCCATTTCCTTTCCTATATAACCGTCCATATCTTTGAAGGAGAGTCTCACAATTTCTTCCTTTCTCGAGCCATTATGTGTTCTTTCATTCTTTTTTTCCGTTCTACCTGTTTCTTCCACAGTTGCATGTTTGTTCATGGGATGGTCATTTCATGGAATTTCTCGACCGCATGGTTGATGTTCTCTCTATCCATTTTGTGTGGTTTCTCAAAAGTTGTATCCTTCCTTTTTAAGTAATGATGCGACTGGTTGGGTAGGGTGAGATATTTGCTGCTGCACAAAAAGATGCCTATTCCTACTGCTGTTCTGTCATTATTTCCACCGCCGCCGCCAGGTTTACCACAATGGCTCGTTGGAAAGGACCATTCTCATAAGTCCATTGTTGGTTTGTTTATCTTCTGTTTAGGTGAGAAAATTACCATTTTTTAAAAAGGAAAATGGTTCCATGGTGGATTGCAATTTCAGGTGTAGCACCATCTGTCCCCTCGCTTTCCGAGGTGCCAGCTTTTAGAGGTGTCTCCATTTGTTTAGGAGGTTTGCAAGAAGCACAATCTGACCTACAACTGTGCCTCGTTCTGGATGGCGAATGTCTTCACCTACAACACACTCGGAGCCGTCGCGTTGCAAGTCAAGGACGTATCCAACCCTGTGCCAAAGAATCTGGTGTGGGAAGCTCTCAACACTCATGGTTGACGATGACGATACGTGGATCTTTGAATTTTTTTCTGGGATGTTTTCGGCTTATGCGGCTCGATGTAATTGTTCCCATGTGTTGGTGTGGCATTAATTGTTGCATTTTGTTGTGTCACCTTGTACACTAGATTTGGTTTGGTTGAGATTGAACTCTGGGAAAAACAGAAGCACTGAGATTTTGATCTAACCTGGAAAAATGAGTAAGGAAGTTGGATATGCTCACTAGACACTAGCTTATGTTTATGTATTATTACCTTTGCTCCCACTTCTCAACCATTCTCATTATGCCATGCACTAATGCAAACCTCTGTTCGAAAATGAGAGGTGCCCCCAACACTTCAGACTAGCCGACTCAATTATAAGGTGTGATATTGCAAGCGATCCACCAACCTATATCACCTTATCCAGATTCAATGGATTTGCCAGTTTAGCCTTGCATCTTAATTATGATTATCGTACTTGTAGCGAGCGGGGATTCAGAGCTGTTTTTAATAAACGTGTTAGAGTTTTATCTGAACTACTGTGCACGTACACGTATGGCTCTACAGGAGTCTTTATGAAGTTGGACTTCGTTGTCGAGTGTTCTACATAGAAGAGGATCAGCACATGTCATGCGCCATGAACTGCAAAATTAACCAATCCCTGACGTCAACTCAAGTGTGTCAAGAGTGTTGAATGTCTTCGCTAAGATATCCGAATTCATTTCCTCCCATTTCCTTTATGAAGAACCACTTTCGTTCATCCTTTGCTTTTTTATTTCAATGCAATCGTGGTTCTTCATATGTCTAGCAATTGTCTTAAATAGAGGACATAATGCATGGCATTATGTGACTGTTAGCTTTTCACATTTTCACTAAATTGCATGTTTTTAGTTTTGGTGTTTTATTGATGGACACAGAATATGAGTCATCTATATCTGTTACAATCATCATCCGTCCCAATTCAGACCAAGCAAAAAGGGGTGAAACAATAGTGTTCATGTAACTATCTACTAGAATTCTAATTTTTTTTATTGGGATATGCATACAGACAAATAAAATGAGAACCCCAATTGTGTATGGAACATTATTGGTCCAACCTTGTCTCCATGCATGTGTAGATGTTGGGAAATAAAAGATGAATTAGCAATTATTTATTTTAAACTTTGTGTATTATTTTATGGAGGATTTGTATGGGAAACTTGTACATAATAAAACAAAATAGTCATTTAAATATGTGAATGTAATGATATATGTATGTATTAAGATTTATATAAATTTTGAACTCATGATCTTGAGATAAACGCTTAGCAATTACAACATATAACTTTTGTATCTAAAATGAATTAGTATTAGTAATTCCTTTTATCTGGCCCATGTACAAGGTTACTGTACACAATTATTTTCTTCAAAATTATATCGTGAACTGTATAAAAAGATCGGTTCAAATCCAACAAGAATAAAGTGATAACTGTACAGATTTGGTTACAATAAATTCAAGGCAAAAGATGCATGGCAGGTATCGTCCGTCAAATAAATAGTTAGTAAAAGAAAGCAGAAGCGACTGTGTAGAAGAAATCGACGTAACCTAAACTCTAAACTATGGTTGTCACTTTTTTGTTACTATAAGAAACAAATGCCATCAGAATGTTAGTATTTTTCACCTATATATCTATGGCTGCAAGTGGATGGACAGTCTTTAATCTGTACACGGACAGGGCAACAACTAACCAGTAATTAATGGCTACAAATCAAAATGGTCAAAAGGTCTTGATCGGTCGGACCCATCAAAATGTGAAACCATACATCGCATATTCTTTCTGCTTTAATTTTCAAACTAGGGCCTTTGGTACAGGTGTACATCAAGTTGAAGGCAAATGTTGGCCCATTAAATAGTGAAGAGAAATGGACGGGTCCGAAAGAGAAGAGATATGAAATAATTTGGCTATTTCGGGAAGTTAACGTCGGTGTTCAATTATTATGTTGTCAGTTGCAGTACTGCTTATAATAAGACAAAACATGCATCATTTTCAAACTTTGTAGCTAAGAAGGAGATCCTCCCCTGCGGACGCGACTGGGTGATATCCCTCTTGTTTTGTCCGCTTGTCTTCAATATGAAAGGGACGCACACTTTGTTTGGGTCGTCTTCTCTATTTTATCTTCTTGTATTCAATATGAAAGGGACGTACACTATGTTTGGGTTCATATAGTCAGTGTGCACTGTTATTTTCCCGTACATGTGTCTATTCGATATGAAAGGGACGTACACTGTGCTTGGATCGTTCTTCTTTATTTTGTCTTCTTGTATTCAATATGAAAGGGACGTACAATATGGTTGGGTCCTTACAGTCGGTGTCCACTATTGTTTTCCCGTACATGCATTGTTGGAGGCTTTTGATGTCGTCTAGGTGAGCTCTTTTTTGTTTTATCTGCTTGTACTCAATGCGAAAGAGACATATACTATGCTCGGGTCCCTATGGTTGGTGTATGCTGTACACTACATGTATTAATGCCATTGTATGTGCTTGTACCGCCAAATAGCTTTCCATTTTCGTTCCTGTAAAACGTTCCTATCTTTGAAGAAGATTCTCACAATTTTCTTTCTTACTCGAATCGGTATGTGCTCTTTTGTTCATATTTTTTTTCTATTTATTCTTTCTATAGTTTCATGTATTATTCCTCAACTGCATCATTGTTATTCTTCCTAACCATTTCATGTGGTTTTCCAGATATTGTTGCTGTGATGTTTGATATAGATATGATCTATACATTCGTGGGGTTTCGGGGGCTTCGTATTGGCATCTATGCTGATGTTATCATAGCTCGGCTTCTCAAAATATGGATTGAGCATAGTGGAAATCCTACATGCCTCAGACGAACAATACATATGTTGTGGATTGATAAAGAGGTTTGTACCAGATCTTTATTATATACAGACATTTCATTCTTGTATGTTTTACCTGTTTAATTATTGTTTTGCATAAATGTTTGCTTGAAGGTTATGCCGAAGAAGATAATACTGAAGAAATGAGTATTAAACTTAATGTCAACCGCTTAAAACACGGTTCTCATACGTCCCATTACAGTCCCAAACTATTCTACATTATTCAGGTAATGATGTCTATATATTTATTTGTTCATGTGATGATTGTAATTCATAACCTAACTATCAATTAAATTCCAAATGTAACAGGATGTGTTTTTCACCTTACTATCCCAGAATATACTGCCGGCGGACTTACTCAATTTGAACTTGTGATGGAAGATTTTAGGTATCCTACATTACTGAATTTTGCAAGGACTTTCACCGTTTAGATATAATGTTAACCGTTTTTATGGCGCTTATGCCAAGCCTCAGTTTCACCTAAAGTGCGTGTATGCTATATATGGGATCTATTGTTTATATCTTTATCGTCGACTTAGACATGGTATCCAGATGATCAATCGTGTTAGACGGTACTATCTTGATGTAATATCTCGTTCTCTGTGGTTGTGTGTTTTTGTTATGTGTTACATTGTAAGCTGTTGTTGTTTTGTGTTTTCTGTCTAAATTGGTGACCTTGAGTTTTTATGGCATTTTTTTTACCAAATGTTACATGTATTAGGAGATGATCCTCTTTTTATAGTTGTAGTTGAGTTTTATTGCGGATGGTCACGTTAAAAGTTAACGTGAACTTACGTTGATATTTTACAACCTACCTTGGATAATTATTGAGTTTTTGGTTATTTAAATATTATACGCGTTATAATATTGTTAATTCATGAATTTTTATTTTAACATTATAACAAATATTGATGGATCGAAAAGTAGATTTAGATCTATATGGGTTGTCGGTTTTGCGTGGTCGACAAGGGTGCATGTGGTGCACTTATTGTGGTAGGTATTTTTTTTGTGATGATGAAATAATTTAGTAAAATTTAGTAAAGTTAGTGGAAAAGGATCGCATCTATTTGGGGGGGGGGGGAGAAAGAGAAGAAATAGCGGAGGAAAGGATGTAAAGGAGAAAGAGTAACAAGTATGC